CACACACACACACACACACAGCACACACACACACACACACCACATATACCACACCACACCCACACCAGGACTGTATACCCAACCCATCACAAAGCTCACACCACACCAGGGAGCAGGCCTCTTGACCCCTCATCTGCCTGCTGTTACCTCTAAGTCAGATGCCAATGGTTTTGATGGAAAAGAAAAGCCAGTCAAGTTAAGAAAGCCTATGCCTAGAGAGTTTTGGAGTGTGTGTATGAAAGAAAGGAGAAGAAATAATGGGGACAGTGGCCCAAGGCAGACAAGGGTAGGACATCGGCATTCTTCCGTCTTTAGGTTGGACATATCACCAGTGCAGAACAGCTTCCCAGCAACCAGGATTCCTGTGTGAGGACCGCACAACTTGCTTGCCACCATCTCTGCTTTGTGATGGCAAGATGGACTGCCATGGTGGAGGGGATGAAGCTGCTGTCTACTGTGGTGAGGTGGACTCATTACCAAACGAAAGTAAAGACCAGTGGCCAGGGCTAGGCATAGGACCACATATGCTTTAAGTCCCAGAACTTGGGAGGCAGGGGCAGGTAGGTGTCAGCTAGAGCTATACAGTAAGACCCTGTCTTTAAAACAGTAGTGGCAAGCTAAAATTCTGAACTCCCTCCCATTTAAACATTTTCATGAATAATTTTTCCACTAGAAATAATTTATTTCTACCCTCTAGGTCAAATGCCCAACAGTCTCCCACAAAACTTGATTTTCAAGTGTCCCAACCAGAAGACATGGACATTTGTGGACAGGGTGTGTGACACCAGGAACGACTGTGGTGACTGCTCAGATGAATCAGGTGAAGATGAAAATTACACAGTTGCTCTTTTTCATGGGTTCTGGGAGTGGCTGCCCTTACAGTCCAATTACTTACATTAGCTCGAACTTAGAAACTTTCTAAAGATATTTACAGCCACAGCTAAGAAAGTCCATCACTCCCTGGGCTGCAGTAGCTTTGAGGAAGAGAGCCAGCTTAAACAAGCTCAGGGTCCTGGCTTCCATCTCCATCCTAGTCCCATCTCCAAAAATAAGTAATAGACAGACAGACAGACAGACAGACAGACAGACAGACAAGAGGGAGAAAGGGGGAGATTTAGCTCAGTGGTAGGGCTAGCAAGCGCAAGAACCCTGGGTTTGATCCTCAGCTCTGAAAAAAAAAAAAAAAAGGGGGAGAAAGGGAGAGAGGAAAGGAGGGAAGGAAGAGGAATTGGAGCAAAGGAGAGTATTTAGATATCATTTCAAGTCAGTTTAGCATGAAAATGTTCTCAATGGGAAGCTCTTGTCTGCTATCAACTTTCATTTGGGTTTCTAAAAGATCTACAAAAGGCTTATTCAATGCTTCATCTCTCAGAAAATTAGTTACCAACCTTGTCCTTCCCTCCTCAGTTCCACCCTTGTCCCACACTGTGTTCCCATAAAGGCTTAACACCGAGATTCACCCATCCCATCCACAGGCCACAGCCAGGCGACACAATTCCAGTGCATTATGGCTCCAATGGATACATTGGAAAGCTTCATCATAAACACAGTGAAGGGACATCAGCTTTGTCATCCCTAGAGGATAGAATGGAAATGCATCTAGTGAAGGAGAAGTCTGCCTCTGTAACAAAGGGCTGGAAAAGCAGAGATCCTTTGCTTCTGGCTAGTTGCCAATTAGCAAAGGCCTGGTTCCTCTGCTCACTGATTGCCCAAACTCAAGGAGACCCTTCTCTGTTTATGCAGATTGTCAGTCTGTTTAGCTAGGGCTGATGGGAAGAGGCAATATTGTCTCTGGCTTTTCAAACCATGTCTGGAATCTTCAATAATCAGCTGTTTTCCCATGAGATAGTTTCACTAATATTTTTTTAAACCTGAAGGGCCAGTTCTTGTCCAATAGCAGTTTTCCCCCCAGTTGACATTTTAAGTTATGCTTTTAAAAATAAATACAACTGTCTAGTTTCACAGTGCCCAGAGTGCTCAGGCTGGAGATGTGATACCGTTTTCTTCACGGACTGTGCCTGCATTCCCAGAAGTCGCTGCAGAAACGGCATCCAAGACTGTGTTGATTGGAGTGATGAAAACCTGTGCAACTAGGCTCAGAACCGTGGGTTTGGAAAAGCTGGAAAATGTCTTTGCCTTAAGACTTCTCTCAAAGTGATGGCGTGTCTATCTGCTTTTTTACCATCCTGGAATGTAGGATAGGGAAGGGTTAAAGAACCTGTGCCCCACTTAACAAACAGGCAGAAATCAGATGCAACTTTAGGTCCCTGTTGTAAACCTGTTTCCAAATAGCCACAGCGTTCTGTGGGAAGCATACATGTGAACTCATTTCAACCAATAGGAAGAAGTCACCCTAAGTTTCAGATGGAGATGCCTCTAGCTCACTAGTGTCACCCTGGTTCATATCTAGCAGAAAATTAAGTTTTAAAACATGTGTTGTTTCAAAAAGCATATATTAGATGTCGTTATGGCATTTTCTCCTTTACCCCCTCTTAGCTGCTTTTCTAGTCTCTTAAGGCTTTATGCCTATACTCATTTACATATTTGGGTATTTCAAACTAGGATCTGCACATTAGGGAGAACACCTTATTTAATATGTGCTATCTAGTTCTCCCATTTTCCTGGAATTTTCTTTATAGTTGAATAAAATTCCACTGTGTACGTATACTACCTTTTCACCATCCATCTGTGGATGAACATCAAGGTTGTTTCCTTGCTATCGTGACACTATAGCAATGAGCCTGGTTGTATCTTGGTGGTAGGATACTGAATCCTGAGGACCTATGGCCAGGAACAACAGTAAAGCTGGGTCATATGGTTGTTCCATTTTGGGAAGCATCCTGATTTCCAGAGTGGCTGCAGTTCTTTACACTCCCACCAACTATAATTAAGGATTCCTATTTCCCACATCCTCCCCACCATTTGTTGAGATTTCTTGATGACAGCCATTCTGGCTGGGGTGAGGTGCTATCTCGAGTAGTTCAATTTGCATTTTCCTGATAGCTAGGGAGAACACCAGGCTTAACCAACTGCCAAGATCATCACCAAGACCAGGATAGTACAATAGTCTGCATCTCTAACCTGCTAGTGCTTAAAATTCCTCCCAGTAGGTAGTGGCCTGGGTTTGAATCTTATTCTACTACTGAAGGGGTGGAGACTCAGACAAGTAAACTAGCCTCTCCCAGATTTTCTAGATCTGTTTGTAGCTCTCCTTTATGATTTTAATCGGACAAAGCAAGTGATTATGTTACCACTCACCGTTAGTAGCTACAGAAAATATGTATCTGGGGGGAATACGAGAGCAGTCCTTCCACACCCCTACGGCCATCCCACAGTTGGCAGTGATCTCTGGCTGATGTAATCTGTGGTAATTATGTGTATCACCTCCCAGCCTAAGTTTGAGAAGCCAGCTGGTGACGTGCCACCTTTCCTATCACAAGACTGGCAAGGTTCTAATTAAATGCTGCTCCCGTGATAAAACAGTCCAGAAGCAAACCAGGCATCAAATTTGATGAGCCTCTGTAGAAAAACCTTCCCTGAAAATTGGGTATCCTGAAAGGAAATGTTTCCTTATCAATCCATAGCTAACAACACAGTATCACTTAATGAACCTACTACATTCAAAATACTTGCGGAGGGGCTGGAGAGACGGCTCAGTGGTTAAGAGCACTGACTGCTCTTCAGGAGGTCCTGAGTTCAATTCCCAGCAACCACATGGTGGCTCACAAGCATCTGTCATGGGATCCGATGCTGTCTTCGGGTGTGTCTGAAGACAGCTACAGTGTACTCATATACATAAAATAAATAAATCTTTAAAAAGAATACTTGCAAAGGTTAGGGACAAAACAGGCTTAACCTCTGCACTGGGACAGACCTAGCTGGAAACCCTTCTTATAGAGTTCGACCACAGCCAGTCAGCAGCCATCTCTCCAACTCGACTTACAACTCACAGCAACAGTACCACAGTACCAGCCCCCACTCACAGCGCTCCAGCTTAGCCATTCCATTTGCTTGGGTTCTAAAAATGAATTTTCCCAGCTAACAGATTTACCTTATTTCCTATGCCAGAATCAGAGAGTGCTCCATTATCAGGCAAGCTGTGATGTAATGTGTTTATAATTAACCTGACCCACAAGTGTCTGGAAGCCACTTGGGTTTTTTTAAGCTGTTGAGACCTCAGGATCCTTGTTTCACTTCGAGGGACGACAGGATGTGGCTGCACCTTCCTTCCAAATTTTTGGCTCCATTAACTCTGCACAGTAACTCTGGGAGGTAGCTGTATAGCACCTTAAAAGAGTAGTCGCAAGCTATGGTATACATTTAAAACCATCTCTTAATAGTAAACGTAATTCCAGCTCTACTCTGTGCACTGGATAGAGTGGAGCTTCTGCTAATACATTAGTCACGGGAACTTTCTGAGGGTGAGGAACTGGTCAATATTCTGACTACAATTGTGCATGTAAAGAGTCTTGGAAATTAGTTAATTCAGAGTATCAGGTTATACATACAAAATGGAGGTACTTGTTCATACCTCATAAAACTTAAAATGAAATGCTGAAACTGGGACACAGGGCTGAAGAGATAGACGGCTCACACGTAAGAGCATTACTGCTCTTGCAGAGGACCCAGGTTCCATTCCCAGAACATACCATATACGAGGGCTCTCAACCACTTAAGTTCAATCCCAGGGATCCAATACCCTCTTACTGACTTCTTTACGTGCCAGGCACATGTACATATGATGTACACACACACATATAAAATGATCTTTAACAAACACCAGAGAAAAAAGCACCCTGGTTTACGCACACAATACTCTTCTCACAGTACACCACATGGAACAAAAAAGCCCTAACGGCTGCCAGAGAAGCAAACTCTCCAACACAAGAACATCATCAAACACCATAACCAACTGTCTATAGACAACTGCTTACTGTGTACACATCAGTGCCAAATAAAAACAATAAACCATATACTAGGCAAAGAATTTTATTAACCTTTTCCAAACTTTATTCCCAGGCTTTTTCAGCTTAATTTGCCGCAAAGAATTAGATATAAGCGAAAACTGAAAAGAGCTGCACTGTCCGGGGGCTTGGGCTTAAAAATATTAAAGATCTAGATTTTATCAGATCCATAATAAACAAAAAAATTTTTAAAAAGCAGTCATGATATAAAATAGCAGCTCCTGTAACTTCTGCAAATGTCATCTTCTTCAGAAGTTGCTTCCATTCAGTTTGCCTCATTCTTAGAAGCCTCATCAAAATTCTCCACCAGATCTAAAAAAGAAAACAGGAGACATCCTGAAAAAAAGTCAATTCTACAAATAACCTGCAGATATTTAAGGAAACACTCTCAAATTTAAAGACTTGTCACTTCCCCACTTGGCAGCTGCATGGTTTCGGGTAGCTATTAGAACTGCTGTTCCCAGTCTTCCCTTTTATACAGGCCCTGTTGTGATGACCCAACCATAAAACTATTTTGTTGCTACTTAGTAAATGTAGTTTTGCAACTGTCATTAATCACCATATAAATACGTGATATGCTACCTCAAAGGGCTTGAGACCCACAGGTTGAGAACCGCCGTATTAGAGGGAGCACCATGCTTAGACAATCTTGTTTATCATTCATCCTCCCTCAATTTAAGAATTAAACAATCCATTGGCCAACACAGGAGAACAGAACTAAAGGATATCCTGACAATCTGAGCTTTCCTTAGGTTCCAGAGACAAACTGGAAAATGTATCAATTTTTTGATTCTTCCACAAGACAAAAATTCAACATAACTTAGTTGGACTTGGTGTCATATGTCTGCAATCCCAGCACTCAAGAGGCTGAGCCAGAAGGGTCTCAAATTTAATGTAGGTCTAAGTTACATACTGAAACACTGCTTCAAACAAAACCAAAAACATAAAAGGAAAACATTACCTTTTTAGAACATCAAACCTCAAGATATTTAAACTCCATGCTTTTTCATAAACCACTGTTTCAAGATAGCATCAGTTACTAAGTGAGGTTCCTGTCCTGTGTCCTCACATTCACCGTTCTAACTTACTACCACACCACCATCCTGGAATGTTTTCTGTCGACTCATTTTTCCCCCTTGCTGAAGTGATTCTTACCTGGAACTTCATCATCATCATCCTCTCCAGTAGCAAGTGGAGCTTTTCCATCCACAGCTGTGAAATGAAAATAACCAATAAATATCAACCAAAAGAACACATGAAATATAAAGTTACAACTTACACTCATGTCAAGTGGCATCTGAGGTTTCACCTGTAGCACCATCAAGGCGACTTTTTGATGGGCACAAACCATCCTCGGGGTACACTGAGAACAGTGCTCAGTAAAAGCACACATTGAACTATGGTCAGGCTTATTTTAGGAAGCAAATAAAGAGGGCAGCCATTTCCCTAAATATATTCACTGAAATAAAGCATTAAAAAATTAAGCTAAATGTGGTGACTCTCCTATCAATCATAGCACTTTGAATGCAAAGACAAGAAGACTATAGTAAACTCCAGGCCAGCCAGGGCTACATAGGGAGACCTATCTCAAACAGCCAGGAAGGGAAGAACAAACACACAAGCCAAATTTAAAGTATCTTTCAACTGTACTGTTCCTTCTGCTCCTCCCTTTCCTGAGATACTGGAGACTCAACCAAGGGCCTTAGATATGCACGTAAGAACTACCACTGAGCCTTACCACCAGCCTATTTTTACTTAAATAAAACAAAACCACCAAAAGTTGAGACAGTCTAATTTGCACAGGCTTTCAACACATTACCAGTTCTTCACCTTGTATGTAATGTTCCTACTTCAGACTCCCCAGTAACTGAGATTACTGTCACGGGCCACCACACCAACAGCACTTTCACCAAACAGAAAAGAAGCAAGTTCTGAGAACACACAGCTCTAACCCACAGAGACATCAGTGGAAATTTCAAAAGCCTATTTAAGCTCAAAGTCCAAGATGGCCTAGAACATCTTGATGCCCCTCCCTTATCAATAAAAACGTAAAATGAGTCAGTATCTGACAACAGCAGGGGAAAACAGAGGGTAAACCTCTGTATTCCTAGTCAATTTTTAAGCACCCAACATAAGGTGTCATATCAACTGTGATGGCTAATCTTGGTTAATTTGGCACCTACAGGGAGAAGAAACTTCAAATGAGGAATTGCCTCTGTCACATCAGCCTGGTGGCATGTGTGTGGGGGCATTTCTTTATTGCTAATTGATGTAGGAGGAACTAGCCCAATGTAGACTAGTGCCGTTCCTGGGCAAGATGGACTAGGATAAGGCGGCTATACAGGGCCAAACAGCCCTAAAATATACATACAAGTAACACTGTATTTACATACCCCCATGTAGTAACAATTAATGGGGGGGGAACTAACTTAAAGGAGAGCAAAGAAGGGTATAGGGTAGGGTTTGGAGGGAGAAAAGGGAGAAATGTAATTATAATCTCAAAAATAAAAGGCAGTTGATGGTAAGCTTGGGAGCATGCCAATAAGAAATGCTCTTCCACATTTCTGTCTTAAATTCCCACCTTGGCTTTTCTTGATGATGGACTATAAAATGTAGTGAAAACAAACCTTTCTCCTCAAGCTGCTTTTGGTTATGGTGTTCATTACAACAGAAATCAAACCAAGACACCGCTTGTTGTACACGTAAGTCAACTAAACAAAATCCCTATCCAACTATAACGCGAAACACTGAAATGCCAGCCGCTATCATCTGTATCAACAATAATGGATTGTGTTTTAAAATAGTATGAGTCCAAAAAGCCACCAAACACAAAGACTGTAAAATAAGAAGATGGAATGCTAGTTATTTTCCTAGTTTAGCCCCTCAAAGTGTTAATAAGCGTGAGCTAGCATGCCCAGCTTGATCAGTTCTAAATTTTAAGAACCAGCAAACCCAAAATTAACATTTGTTTTCATTTCTAACTAATAAAAGGTTTTAGTTTGATTTAAACATAGTAAGCTGGTAGAAAGCAAACATCCACTAAATCAAGAATAATAGTCACAGATAAACTAGATACATCATCATAAACAAGAACACAATACAAGCAGTTACAAGTCTACTGTTCTTTTAGATATATAAGTTGGCCTTCTACATCTAAAGACATTCTTAACAATTCTGAACCCTGAGATCACACAAATAAGTTGCTAAGTAACCAGACAAGTACAGTGACTCTGAGGATACTCACATTGTTTGGGCAGAGCTTCGGCCAGTCTCCTTAAGCTAGTCAGACTGTCTGCACCGAGCTGGTTTAGGATGCTGGGAAGCATGTCTGTCAGCTGCTTTGTCT